TTTTCTTTGACTTTAATCAACTCGGTCTGTATCTTTTGTAAATACACTACCATTTTGATGTTACAATTTTTCAAATCAACAACAAAACATTGACTTATGCGCGCAGTAACATAATTCCACAAATAAGTTTGTTTTGGGGCGGGATTTTCATCCTCATAACTGTACGCTTGCATACATATTTTTATAACCAATCAATCAATCAATAGCAACGTAGAACTTCGTACGTACGTACATCAGTTCATGTTGCCATACCACATTAGCACAGAGATGTAATTGTCTACTCAAATCCCATAGTAGTCGAGATAATAAAAGTATTAGCAGTAGTCGGAGAGGTTAGGATGAGAAGATATTAGTCAAGAAGTAGAATCTAGTGAAATAGACTTAAACAGACAAAGGTGATGCAGAATAAAAAAGATTAGGATTTGATAGAACACAACGATTGTATGCACCTGCACCCTTGCAAACTATTTTGAGCCATGTCATTTAAGGTCTCTAACCCACGGTGACTTTCGTCTCGCGGACCCCAAACCAGGTAGTCTACACCTACCGACATGACTCAGTCCACTAGTCAATGACTGCATGGATTCCTAACATGTTTTGGTCTGGCCGCCCCTAACTTTCGTCCAACCTACTCTTATATTGCAAAACATAGCTCGACGAGGCAGTCGGTGGTTAGGCATACGTAACACATGTCCCAACCACCTCAACTGATCAAGTTTCACTACTCCATCTATTGATCTGTCGTTCCTACCTAATACTCCTGTCCTAACGACAGCATTCCTTAAGCGGTTGTTCCACGATACAGGAACAATCCTTCGAAGACACCTATGTTCGAAAACCATTATGAATCAAAAAACACATTACAATGCAAATCGATCAATGTACAAAATTTGTTATTCTTATTTAAAGACTGGTTCAAAAATCAATAGATTACGTCATAGAAACAAGGCAGAAATTATTTAATTATAAAACTGAATAAAGTAATTTCGGTACAATAGATTTTGATTGTGAAATATATATGTTGTATAAGTTAATTTCAGTCTGACGATGTAGTGAGTGAAATTTCTAAACCTAAGACACAGGTGGCCGAGAGGGAACGAACATAACACTATATATATAGTGTTTGATTGGTGCATTCAACGGCGGTTTACGAGAAAGTTTTGACTGAAGATTGATATCACTTTAGTAGTCTATCTATCTGTTGCAATTATTAAACTGGCTGCTTTATTTAAATTCGAGATGGTGGAGAAAACTTGTAGCTCAGGTGGATGATTGTGGTGGTGTTTCGTTCTCTGAGCTGGATATTTTGGTTGTGAAGCTTTCATTGTTCCTCTGAACAACATCATCGGCACAAACTTCAGATAGAAGTGAAGCATTCGAATTTCTCCACGTTTGACCTGTAGCTTCTTCTGCTAACCTCGATCTTGATTGGTTGCAGTTGACCTTCAATCTGTCATTGTTTGCACCTTTGTTTTGATTGTATCCCCATTTCCGATCTGTTTCTTGATCCTATGTCACCTATGATTTTCCTGATTCGTTGATAAATTGGGTCAATGTCGATGTGTTTGTTGATTGCTGATTGACCTGAGGAGTGCCAAGCTTCTAAAAATTCTCTAGTGTTCTTTTTTCTCCCCCTATCCAGTATTTTCACATTGTCCTAATCGATTATATGTCCATAATTGTCGGTGTGTATTGATATAAGCCAAGAATTGTCGTGGCGTTTGACTCCTAACCGGTGTTCACGTAAACGAAGCTGAAGAGGCCGTCCACTTTGTCCTATGTAGTGTTTGTAGATGATATTTGGTTTTTCTCCCTTTCCCATTTTATCTTTTGGTCTACATAGGATTGATTGAAGTGATTCTGTTGGTTTGTGTGCCACACCTATTCCAAATGTTTCCAGTAGTCATGCTGTATGCTCCGATAAGTCTTTTATGTATGATAGAATGATCCGTTTATTGGTTCCTGTACTTGATTTCGGTTCTGTTGACGGTTTTGGTTGATGTTTTCTGATGAAGTTGCGTGGATGGTCGAGGTTAGCAGAACAAGCTACAGGTCAAACGTGGAGAAATTCGAATACTTCACTTCTTCTATCTGAAGTTTGTGCTGATGATGTTGTTCAGAAGAACAATGAAAGCTCCACAACCAAAACAACCACCTCAGAGAACGAAACACCACAATTATTTAAATTCATCAAGGCAACAAACTGTATGAAATAGTTTTGAATCTATGTATACACTTTTTACCTTGTTAGGTTTACAAACTTTTGGTTTCCATTAGTAAGTTACAATTTACAATCGACTGACTAATTTAGTTACAGTGGGACAGAACGCATTCATTTATATTTAATCTTCCTTCTTTTTGTATTGTTCATTGTGGTAGTTTCGATTTTTTTTTCGTCGCAGTGATATAGGGTGTAACACAATTTAAATGATTACATATTGCTGTTATGTTTTAAATTTATTTTACGAATGATATATTTCTTTGACAAACTATTTCTTCAGTGTTGAGATAGTGGAGAAAATTTGTAGCTCAGGTGGATGAGATTGTGGTAGTGGTGTTTGGTTCTCTGAGGTGGATGTTTTGGCTGTGAAGCTTTCATTGTTTTTCTTCGGAACACAACATCATCAGCACAAACTTTAGATTGAGAAGTGAAGTATTCGAATTTCTCCACGGATTATTCTATCATACATAAAAGACATATCGGAGCATACAGCATGACTACTGAAAACATTTGGAATAGGTGTGGCACAAAACCAACAGAATCACTTCAATCAATCCTATGTAGACCAAGGGACAAAATGACGAAGGAAGAAAAACCGAATATCATCTACAAAATAAATTGCTCAAACTGTAAAAAAACACTACATAGGACAAAGTGGATGGCCTCTTCAGCCTCGTTTACATGAACACCGATTAGCATTCAAACGCCACGACAACTCGTCGCTTATATCAATACACACCGACAATTATGGACATACATTCTATTGGAACAATGTGGAAATACTGGATAGGGGGAGAAAAAAGAACACTAGAGAATTTTTAGAAGCTTGGCACTCCTCAGGTCAATCAGCAATCAACAAACACATCGACATTGACCCAATTTATCAACCAGTTAGAAAAATCATAAACAAACATCGGATCGAGAAACAGATTAAAAGGGGGATACAATCAAGACAAGGGTGCAAACAACGACAGATTTAACGTCAACGGCAACGAATCAAGATCGAGGTTAGCAGAACAAGCTAAAGGTCAAACGTGGAGAAATTTGAATACTCCACATCGGTCTGAAGTTTGTGCTGATGATGTTGTGTTCCGAAGAAAAACAGTGAAAGCTCCACAACCAAAATATCCAGCTCAGAGAACGAAACAACACCACAATTTCTTCAATGTATTAATTCTACAATATTCAGTGGCTTAGACCCGATTATCACTGAGATTCACGTTAGAATAGTGTGTTAATTTTAGCATTGTATTACTAGGATGCTTACTTCAATCTATTGTGCCAGTTAGACGTACTTGCATGCCAATGTTGAATGTCTCTGTTAAGAAGCGTTAATGCGTTGCGTTATTCCCGAAGTTATTAATTCTAGATAACCACTAACTTATTTAACAAGTATGATATCAACGAACACCATAATCCGGATTTTCAATGTCAAGACGGTTCTACTGTAAGAAGTGGAAACTTGGAGAACCACGGATGCTATCATCCACAAGATACAAGTATGTATTAACAGTTATCTACGCAAAATACTTAGGATCCGTTGGCCAGACACCATCAGCAACAACCTACTGTGGGAGAGAACAAACCAGATTCTAGTGAAGGGGGAAATCAGAAAGAAGAGGTGAAAGTGAATAGGACACGCACTGCGAAAAGCACCCAACTGCATCACAAAACAACCTCTTTCTTGGAACCCTCAAGGTGAAAGGAAAAGAGGAAGACCAAGAAACAGAGAAAGATATAAGAAGAATGAACAAAAATTAGACAGAACTGGAAAGAGAAGCCCAGAACTGAGTAGGGTGGAGAACAATGGTCAGCGGACTATGCTGCATTGGGGGTAACCAGGCGTTAGTAAGTAAGTATGATATTTAACACTATTAATGAAGGTATGTAAAACTCCAGGATACAGGTAAAGTCAAGTTAAAGAATCTCAAAAAGGATGAAAAGTGAGCCTTAAATTCTACTGATAACAAAAATCTGCAAAATTTTGATGCTTGTTACAAAATACCATTATTATTAAGATTGATATTTACAATATACAAACTCATACTAACAATCCTACACTACAAAACAAAGCTCGACGAGGCAGTCGGTGGTTGGGCATACGCAACACATGTCCCAACCACCTCAACTGATGAAGTTTCAATACTTCATCAGTTGAGGTGGTTGGGACATGTGTTGCGTATGCCCAACCACCGACTGCCTCGTCGAGCTTTGTTTTGTAGTGTAGGAATAGGTTGGAAGAAAGTTAGGGGCGGCCAAACCAAAACATGGCAGAAATCCATGAAGTCATTGACGAGTGGACTTAGCCATGTCGGTAATTGTCGACTACCTGGTTGGGTTCCGCGAGATGATAATAATTGATGGTTAGAGACCTTGAATGACATGGCTCAAAATCGTTCGCAATGGCGCCGGTGCATTTATTCTTTGTGTTCTCTCAAATCCTAATCTTCTGGGTTCTTCAACCCCTCTAGTTTTGACTTTCTAAACTTATCTCACTGAATCATACTTCTTGAATAATATCTTCTAATCCTAACCTCTTCGATTACTTCTAATACCTTTATTACCTGTAGTACTATTGGATTTGAATTGACAATTACATCTCTGTGCTGATGTTGTATGGCGACATGAACTGATGTACTTACGTACGAAGTTCTACGTTGCAACTGACTTTTTGACTGACTGACTGACTGACATACTAATAATAATTCTACTCATTAACATAAATAAGGCAAAAACAGAAAAAAAATATATATATATATATATAATAAAAATCACTAACTTTACTTTCTTCACCTTCTACAATCACTAAACCTGGTCGTCCAGGCATACAACAACCAGTTAATTGCAATTCTTTTGACCATTCCAAAATAAGACGTCTTTTTATTGGACTACGAATATGATGACTAATAATCCATAGACAAACAATCTTTTCATTAATAGTCACAATTGAATTGGGTGTTGTTGTTGTTGTTGAGAAAGACTGCTGTTCACTTTCTTTAAATTCATTAGATAATAATTCGTTTTGAAGCCAATCTATACATGCTATTAAAATTGGTTCACCAGTATTTGTTATTTCATTTAACCAATCATTAAAACGTGATGATAATTCACGTAGATTTATGCTACCAGTTGAATTATTCTCAGATAATAAACGTAAAGTAATTATTGGTTTAACAGGATGATGTGTATTATTGCATGAAGGATAACCATCGGGTAGAACAATTGATAATTCTAATTTTTTATTAAGCTTGAAATATAAAAAGGCAGTGAAGCGGATAAATCATCTACTGTATTTAAATTAGTAGTTTCAAGAAAGTCAAGAATGTTAAACTTGAATTGCTTCTTCATGAAATTCTAAACTACAATCGAAGTTTGAAACAGAAGGGTCATGCCTTAAACATGGAATATATATATATATATATATCGACTGATTTTATTACAGAGAGCCCTATTCTTACAATAGTGTAACTGACTGACTGACTGACTGATTGATTGATAACCTTGGAAGCCTTGAAGTGATGTTTGCAGTTGAAATGTTGATTACATTACAATTATTTCCTTTTTTTAAAGTAACTGATGCAGTCAAAAACAATGTATGATTTTCAGTCAGCCAGTTGCAACGTAGAACTTCGTACGTAAGTACATCAGTTCATGTCGCCATACCACATCAGCACAGAGATGTAATTGTCAATTCAAATCCAATAGTAGAAGAGGTAGTAAAGGTATTAGAAGTAATCGGAGAGGTTAGGATTAGAAGATATCATTCAAGAAGTATGATTCAGTGAGAAAAATTTAGACAGTCAAAACTAGGTGTTGAAGAATCCAGAAGATTAGGATTTGAGAGAACATAAAGAATGAATGCACCGGCGCCATTGTGAACGATTTGAGCCATGTCATTCAAGGTCTCTAACCATCGATTATTATCATCTCGCGGACCCCAACCAGGTAGTCGACAATTACCGACATGGCTAAGTCCACTCGTCAATGACTTCATGGATTTCTGCCATGTTTTGGTTTGGGAGACACAATGAGAGTAATTTAAAAACATTACAATTGAAGATGTTCAAAAATATCGACTGTATGAATTGATAAGGACCAGCACAAATACAATTTAAACATTTATTGGTAAAAACAGCAAACGATAAGTAGTTTGCTTCTTGGTAATTCCGCAGTAATACTGGTTACAAGTAGTATAGCTACAATTAACATGAGTGTGAACTTTGTAAGGTGATGTACGAACACAAGAATCGCAGTGATCTCATACAAAAGTAACAAAATATTGTGATGAACCAATATTTATGACAGATTTATAAACACTAGGATCATAGATGCTTATGAAAGACTGACTAGTTGAACATTTACTAGAGTCGTATCATAATTCTGTCTTAAAAAAAGAGATGACAGCCATGCAGATCTGGATAAACGTCGCTTACTTATATCTAAGCATCATTCCATGAACATCTGATCACATTTTGTAAAGTGAACACATATTTTTCCCTCAATTTGGCGTGACATTGAAAATTTAGTTTCGAGTGTGAGTACTAGACAGATATCCGTCTGATAACCAAAAGACGAGTGTACTGCGTAGCAGTTCGCTCCATCCTACTATATGGATGAGAAACAAGGGCGGTAAGAGTAGAAGACATTCGTAGGTTATTAGTATTCGATTATAGATGTCTTCGAAGCATTGCTCGTATAACCTGGGATAACCTAGTAAGCAATGCTGTCGTTAAGACTCGAGTACTAGGTAAGGATGGCAGATCAATAGATGAAGTAG